AACACTAACTGAGGTGTTATGTGCCAGGCCCTCTGCAAATCCTCAAGACAATCCTGCAAGGTGATACCTTTCCCCACCATTTTTCAGATGAGGAGAAAGGCTGTGAGATTAAGTAACTTGCGGATCTAGAAATTGAACCTAAGAAGCATGAGTCCAAAACTCAAACTCTTAACCACTCAACAAGGGTGCCTGGTGAGATGACTTACCAAATTGGAGATGTGAACGATGTTACTGATCTTGCCCCGGGGTGGGGAGGGCACTTGAGCGGTTCTGACTGGGTCATCAATTGTAATGGAAACTCCAGACTTCTGCTGGCTAATGGAACGACGGGTTAAGGTATCTCCTAAAGTCACTATCAGATAGAGCACAGGACTGGTTTTCAGTAGGAAGTAACATGACTTTCTTTTATTCCCTACCCAGGAGTCACTCTTCCATCTAAATGTGCTAAACACCTATGATGTGCAAGGCATTGTCTAGGCTAATCTCATTACAGGGATTCGAAGGCTGAACAGATTCAAACCTAGCCCCTCAAGTAGCTTAAAAATTAGGAGTACACAGATATGTAGAATACTATAATAAAAAACAAGAAAACATTAAAAGAAGAACAAATAAAGTGATCTGGGAATTCGGGAGCTGCACTGTTTCACTCATTAATGCTTCACGCACCTTTCTTTACTTCATGCTCCACAGGTGGGGGCAAGGCCACCTCTACTGAAACCTGAGGAGGTATAGGGGTTTCTGCTTCAGGCTCCTTCTCTTCTTCCTCTTCTTCCCTCTGCCCATTTTCTTGGCCCTCTGCAGGTACTACCTGCAAAGTATCAGATAGGGAGGGACTCATAAACATTGACACATTTCTTTCCAGCCTCCAGTTTCCTGGTGAGAGAGGGTGTTATAGTCAACCTAGCATGTGCCTTCCACTAGGGGGCGATTTCATCTTTAAGTTCACCTATGTCAGATCCTGTGATCAACACAACTCTGCTACAAGGAAAACTAAGGCAGGAGCCACAAATTTTTCTGTACAGGGTAAGATAGTAAATATTTTAGGCTTTGTGAGCCATACAGTTTCTGTTACAACTATTCAGCTCTGACTTTATAGCACTGAGCAGTCCCAAACAAGAGTACATGAGTTGGTGTGTTCTAATAAAACTTTATTATGGGCAACAGGTTAGATCTGGTAGTCCATTGATCCTTAAAATGACCAATTAATTCAACCCCATGCACAAATGGGAGATTTCCCCTTTAGGACTCCACCTTAGCTCTTCAGTTGCCT